TTCTTTCTTTCCTACCCTGGGTCGGTGCAAAGATGAACCTAGCAAACGAAACCCAGCCTTCCTCACCCTCCCAATCCCTCTTCTTCCCCTTCTTTCTTTCTCTTTCTTTCTTTCCCACCCTAGGTTGGTGGAAAGCTGGGTTCATCGAAACCCAGCAGATGAAACCCAACTACTGGGTTCGTCTTTTGCTAGGTTTCGGTTGATTACCTTCTTCTTCCAATTTTTCGAAAAAATCCTTTCTTCTTCCAATTTTTCGAAAAAATCCTTTCTTCTTCCAATTTTTCGATCTTCCCATTCATTACCCGTGAGCCCTTCATCTCCTAGTTCTTTCCATTCTACCCATGAAGAATCTATAATCACTTGCAAATCTAGATCGACTAATTGTTCTCGCATCGTCGATTAACAATTTGATTGCATTTTCCTTGAAATTTGATTAGAGTTTGATTGTATTTTTGTTGAAATTTGATTAGAGTTTGATTGATATTGTTTATTGAAAGGTTAATTTGATTTGATAACATCTACTAGGTTTGAGGCTCCAATGAAACCCAGTAGCTGGGTTCAATGACAGAGAATTCCTTTGGTTCATAGACATATTATTTTGTAAGGACTCACCCCACTAGCAGTAGAGGCAACCCAACTCAAGTTAGATTGATTTTGCAGAGAGAGATTGATTTTGCAGAGAGTGAAGGTGAGAGACCATTCTAGGGTTCACAGATCTTATTGGTGGTTTGCAAGCAACGTGAAAGCCATTGAAGGGTCTTTGGTGTAGGAAGAAGATGACATGTCATAAAAAAAAATCCATATCAGCACTTTTTAAAGTTGTCCTTGCCATGTCATAAAAAAAAAAATTCATATCAGCACTTTTTAAAATTGTCCTTGCCATGTCATCAAAAAAAAATAAAAAATGCCACGTGGCCGATTTAACTGCTCAAATTGACAGAAGGACAAACGTTGTGCATTTCTTAAAGTTGAGAGATAAAAAAAAGTGCAAAAAATTGTTGAGAGACCAAAAATATGCAACTCACTAAAGTTGAGGGACCAAATTTAGCATTTAACCAATTTCAAAATAACCTAATCTGATATATCTAAAATTCAAAATCACCTAATTCTAGCACAGCCGAAACGCCCTGTCTGTTTGCCAGGTCGACCCACTCAATCAATGGTGGATGAATTGGTTTCATTTTCGGTATCAATTGTACCATACTATCATTGCCGATAAGGTAAGTCTTTTTAAGGGAAAGCCGGAGAGGAAAGCAACTAATGAAGTCCTGAAGCAGTACTGGTCGCCTCATCTTACGCAGTACGCATATTTAATTTGCAATGCAAGACTCGTGCAAGTCACGAATGAGAACCACATACGCAATAGCGAAGATAACACAATATGGACAAATCTGTTGTCCATATCTGTCAATAACACAACAAAATTTTCTACTCTTTTTTTTTTTTTTTTCTTTAAAGCCATGGAGGTACAAGTTTTAGCTGCAATTCACTCTGTTGACTGCAACAAAAACTTTATATATAGTTAACGCCCTGCAATGGTAAGATTAGATGAGATAACAAACTCCAAGGATCAAAATCTAACTCCCTTACACGTCAACAAACCCCAAACTACCAACCGGGTGAAGAAGACCACTTTATTATTGTAACACTCAAAATCTTATATGAGAATGAAAGAATAAGTGTGATCAATATATTAATATAGAGGTCAATTATTATTAATAATTTAAATTTAAAATTTTTAAAATTTATAAATTTTAACTCAAAAAATTATTAAACCTATAATAAACTTTGACATGAGACGTTTTAGTCATGTTTAGAGTGCAGAAAAAGCCTTTGTAGACTATAAATATTCGTAGGGACGCATATAAAGTTCCCGAAGGGTTTATAAATACCTCAATTCCTAGAAATATCTGTAAAATTCTATGAAAATTAAATAAAAGTGCATTTCCATAAACAGTCCCTCCAATTCCTATCTATTATATTACGAAGCTCCTAAGTTTTTTACCTATAGCCCTTCTTTATATGGTTCATCGATTCATGAAATTGGATTCATTTTTCCAGTTAAAAAAACTTTAATTTCTGTGAATATTGTTACTGAAGGAGTCACATACTCATTGGTTATATCACATATAAAAGTTGGATTAGGTAAGCAAAGAAAATTGCTCATAGTCCACTTTCAAGTTTTCACATCTACGAACAATGTTACGGGTCTAAGTGTTTTAAAATCGGGATAGCATAATAATTTATGTAAAGGCAACACCCCTGCTAAGATAGTGGGCAAAACTAATGTCTGAACGTTGGATATGAAATTTGAACATAAACTAGCTGCTTGTTAGTTTCAAATTTTACTTCTGAGCAAGGCCAACCACGTTGTGGCCTCATGACAACCAGGCTAGGTGGTAGGCATAGGTGTCTTGAAGTATCAGGCCTTTTTTTTTTTCTCTTTTTATAGAGTTACATCATAGGGATGAGGAAATAAGAAAGACTCGAATTCAAGTTCAGTGAGAAGCATCATGTGGGGAGTAGTCAACTACTCTACTTGGTAATCTCAAAATCTCGAAAAAAAAAAAAAAAAAAAATTAAGGCAGTCAATTAAATGAACAATCCAACTTAGTTAAGGAAAATAAATTTTTTTATACAAAAATAAAGTGCCATATAATTGATATAATGGATGTAAGTGGTTATATGTAAACTTTATTAGAAAACCATTTTTTCCAAAGTTTTGGGGTAGAAACTGATTATAATCAAAATCAGTTATTTGTTTTAGTATGAACAATTATATTTTTATAATTAATTATATGAATATAAAATTACTTATATGACTTAATATAATTAATTATAATGTATCTCAATTTGTATATTAAAAAATTTATTTTTCTTAGTCAAACTTAACGGTTCATTTAATAGATTACTCTAGAATCTTTTTCAAGATCTTGGGTAATAAAAAAGGCCCTCTGAGTTACGGCAATACCAATATCTCAACGTTTTGGATTTGGGTTTTGAATACAAAATTAGGTACTTA